TGTGTGTGTGTGTGTGTGTGTGTGTGTGTGTGTGTGTGAGGTTTGAACAACTCAACAAGAAATACCTTCGACGGTTCCTGATCGGAGAAGAACATCAGGCTCGCTCCAGCATCCTGAGAGTCTACCAGGAGCTGGAGAGGAGGGAACAGAGGGAGAATGAGGAGACTCCTGCAGTGTAAGGACAACAAAATGCTCCTTAAAGCAGTAGTTCAGAGTTGTGGAGGCTTAATGAAAAAGTTACAAACATTAATATTAATTAATAACAAGTAATGAAAAGCATTTGATGTACCAGTTAGGAACTTGTGGTAAATAGCTTTTTGAACACCTTAGATTTGAAGAAATAAAGTTTAATTTTGACAGAYTGACTAACTAACTGCTAGTTCAAGCAGGATCATTGAAGTGCATTAATGTGCTTCAAAAAATCCAGTTTTCAAAATTTCATAGCAGTTTTTGCTTTCTAAACATTTACACCGTTTCCAGTTTTACTTTACACCAAAAGTGTTAAATCCTGGTCCTTTGGGGCCACAATCCTGCATATTTTAGAGGTTTCTCTGCTCCAACATGCCTGATTTGCATGAATGGATGATTAACATGCTTCTACAGAATTTAAAGAGGTAATTAAGTCAGTCCTCAAGGGCCGGTGTCCTGCATGTTTTAGGTGCTGCTCTGTTTCAACACAGCTGAACCTGGGGAGTGCTTYATTAGTAGGCCTCCTCAGTTTGTCATCAAGGTCTGCAGAGGCCTACTAATTAAGTACTCCTTAGGTTCAGCTGTGTTGAACCAGAGCAGCACCTAAAACATGCAGGACACYAGCCCTGGAGGACTGACTTGGACACCACTGCTCYAAAATATGCAAGATAGTGACCCTAAAGGACCAGGATTTGACACCCCTGCTTTATTCTGAAAGTAATATTCTGATAATCCTGCAGAAGTTTCTCCAGGCTGCAGTGGTAGAGATAGACAGCAGTTGGCTGCTGCTGATGTTAATATAAAATGGCGTTTACACAAACTATGAATGATTTAATGAATGATACTTTATTGATCCCATGAAGGGAAATTACAGTTTGGAACAACCCGTTCAAYAGACAAAACACAGCAGACTTGGAGAAGGTGCCCCGGGTCCAGCAGCCATAAGAGCCGCAACCCTTAAAAGAAAAAAGAAATTACCACATGAGGATAAGTGAAGATGGATGGATGGATGGATGGATGGATGGATGGATGGATGGTTGGTTTTAGAGTGTAGTTGACCCCAGCAATCAGCTTGTGGCTGCWCTGACTAGCCTTTAGCTCGCCAGTCTTATCAAAATAAAATGCAAAACTGAGGTTGTTCAAAAAGCCATCTACGACAGGTAGGATATTATTTATTAAAATAACTCCACAGAACCCTACTTCAAAAATTCTGAACAAGCGTTTTAATGGTTCAGTCCAAGCTAATAATTTTTTTACTATTATGTGTTTGAAAGTGTTCAGTACTTTGCAAATTATACACAGTAGATGTTACATAAACTGTATTATCACTTTAATGTCAAGTCTGATGCTTKTGAAAAATGAAAACAYGTCAGATTTCTGAACATGTGTGTGAATATTCAAATTTTGGTTTAAGTGTGGATCCTCGTCCCACCAGCCGTCCCCTCCTGCCAGAGGAGATGGACAGCATCAGGCGCATTCTCTCCAGAAACCTGCAGCGCTTTAACAACAAAGTACTTTAAATTAACATCATTTAGGAATCCTGTTGCACCCAACCAATACACAAAGTTAACACATACATTTGTTAAGAAGTCACAATTGAACTCCAGCAGACACCAGCTTACAGCAGACACGCCCTGCACCAGGATGTCACCACGGACAGGACCAGGAGGCCCCTTCAGCATCACCAGAGTCTTGGAGAGAGACGCAGATATAACACAATCACACACTGGCCACAGGTACAACATGCAGTTTTACAAGTACACACATCTAAGCCAGGAGCAAACTCTRAAATTAAGGTGACTGACTGATAAAAACTCAGAGTTTTTCCCCTCTAACTTRTATTTTTATTGTCAGGAGGAAAATGAAGAGTTCAGCGAGTCTCACTCAGGGAGACCAGGACTCAGCAGATCTCACACAGGTGAGCAGGAAATCAATTCATAGGTCAATATTAAATTATATCATTAGTTTTCTCAATCTCTTAGCACTCAGGGTTTGTGCTGGGGAAGATTCTCAGCCACCATGTTTGAGCTCCGTATCTCAAAAATGGACTGAGTGGCAGCTATCTTGAATTGTATTGACTCGAAAAGGAAATAGACCATGTTGTATTTAGAAACTGTCACAAATACGCATGTGCGTAGAGAGACGACCTAACGTGTTTGTTATGGCAATATTTATTTAACAACAGAGAGAAATATGTTGGTCCAGAATGAAGGTACTCCGTGGGATGATCAGCTGAGTTTTATTG